AAAGTATTCTTGCGTTGAGGGAGTACTTGAGTGGAGGCCCAATGTCCTTCTGCTACCTTAATACTAAACCTATAAATGTAGGCTCATAGATCTATTTCCCTATCATATAAATATATTTGCATATGTACATGTGTTTATCTAGACCTCTATAAATGTATATGGTAATTATTATCATCTGGATGATAATTGTCACTGCCATGTGAGTGGCATGTAAGTACATTGATTTTTCATTCAAATTATTCAAAAGCTGTATGCATAAAGTGCCAGAGAATCTTTATTTCTATTTATAATTTAAATCAGAACTTGTCTTTTTGAACCATAGGAGCTCTCTGTGCATCGGGCATAAGAAAGGTTAGGACTATTGTGAGTAGCTTAAATTTGGAGTTCTCAGCTTAAAGAGCATAGGCCCCAATCCTGCATTTCTGTCTGTGTTCCACAGAGATCTAAGATCTTTTTACTTCTATGAAATAAAAATATGTAGTGAGCTAAAGCATTACTTACTTTTCTTAGGCTTACGATTAGCATTATTTTGTTATCCAGAAGTCAGGAAAGGGTAACAAAACAGATGAAGTTGTGTGACTTTTAATATGTGGTCCAGGAAGACAAAACATTTAGAGAATCTCTTAAAACTTTTCAAAGAACCCTGCCAATCAGACAAATCAGTAGTTTAAAGGAATATTTTTTCCTACAGCAGAATACTTTTCCACATGAAATGCTGTTTAGAACTATAATATGAAGCAGAATAAGTTGGGGCTAGTGTTCCTTAAAGGGAGCCCTGTTGGTGTGGTGGTTACCTGTTGGGCTGCTCACCACAAGGTCAGCAGCTCGAAACCACTGTCTGCCCCATGGGAGAAAGATTAGGCTTTTGCAAAGAGTTACAATCTTAGAAACCCATAGGAGCAGTTCTGTGATTTATAGGCCGCTGGGTGTCAGTGTGGACTCCATGGCAGTGAGTTTGGGTTTTGGTGTGAGTGTTATTTAAATGAGGTAGAAGGCTCAGAGACTTACTTCGTCTGATTTCCCAGCACCCCTTTCCTTAAGCCAGGTTCTGCGCTGTCATAAGAATCTCTTTGAAACAACTTGAAAACAATTGACCTAGACCAGTGCTTCTCAAACTTTAAAATACATACAAATCACGTGGAGGTCTTGTCAAAATATTAATTCAGTAGGTTTGGGTTAAATCTACATGTCCAAAAATTCCCAATTGTATAGATGCTGATGGCCTGAACCACACTTGGAATAGCAAGGAGTAGTTAGTATGGAGTGGTGTAATATGGGGTTCCTTGTAGTTAGCTAATAGTGTTTCACATCTTCTAAGCCATTGATAGTTTGCATCCCTCAAGTTCAGTCAAAGAAAGAGCTCTGTGTAAATATATTGATGTTTCCTCTTGATTAGAAACAGAAGCTGCTTGTGCTGCTGGGTTGAAAGGAAGAGGAAATGTCCCATGGATATAACAGATTTGTTTTGGTGTTTCATGACTATCGCCTCTTTCCAAGTCTGACCTGTCCAGTGATGGCTTGTCTATTTTTCCAGGGATGACCTAACTGATGATTCTGTCTTCACACGAAGCTCCCAATGTTCTCGAAGTCTTGAGCGATACATTTCCCGAGAGGAGAAGCCTCTGAGTTCCTTTTTGGGACAACTTGATGAGGACTACCGAACAAGAGAAACGTTCCTGCATCGATCTGATTATAGTCCCCATATCAGTTGCCGTGATGAGCTCTTGCACAGCACAGAACGGAATAGAGACAAACTCAAAGGCGGCCCCTACTCTATACGGTCTGAAGAGAGGAGCCAGGAGGCCAAGCGTCCCCGTTATGATGACACACAGAAGATACCAAGCATGGGAGGGACTCACCCGAATTTTACATCAGAGGCGCGCAACTATCGACAGCGTAGACGAAGCCCAAGCCCTAGGTTTCTAGATCCTGAGTTTCGAGAACTGAACCTTGCTAGGAGAAAGCGAGAGGAAGAGGAGGAACAAAATAGGAACTTGAGCCAGGAGCTGGTGGAAGTGGGTGGTGGTGGCACTAGTTGCCCTATCCCAGGATTGTCAGGTGTTCTGTCAGTGTCAGAGTCGGGATATTCTGTGCATCGACCCGAGGAAGTATCTGCATTGCCCAAGAAGTCCATTCTGAAGAAGCGGATTGAGGTGGACATGGAGCCTTCCATTCAGGTCTCTGGAATATTTCTTCTTTCGTCTTAGTACCGTAAAGCCTGGTTGCTTTCTTGGGGGCTTTATCTCAAAGGGTATCTTAGTAATAATGTATGATGAACCAGCTTTGCTTTGTCTGTGAGCTGTAGCACTTTCCATATCTCCCCAAAGGAAGCTGTCCACCACATAATGCATTAGTCAAGGCCTTCTATTGCCGTCTTTTAATTTTTAAAACATTTTTAACAGTTTTATTGGAAGTAGGATTTCTAAACAGACATTTTGAATAGTGCCTAATATGATTTTTTTCTCTCCCCAAACTTGAATAGCTCTTTAGGAACCTTTGAATGTGGGCACTGATACAGTTCAGTCAGCCTCATTTCCCTATTTCCCTGTGCTATAGCAGTGGCAGCTGGAGAGATGGCGACCCACACCTTGAGCCTGGCTAAGGATACTCTTCCTCCCTGTCACTCATACTGTTCCCCTAATAATTTAGGGGGGAAAAAACAAGTATTTTTATCTATTACTAGTTTTCTGAGATTTTGCATAGGGACTAAGTCAGTTGTATTTGTTTTTACAGCTTGAGAGATTTTCCAGTAGTACCAGCACCTGCCAGGATCACACTCTCTACACTGGACACTCATCTGTTCCTCTTAGTGGTGCTTTAGCTACCTTTGCCTCGGATATTGAGAACACCAAGGAGACTGCCTTGAAGGGATCTCAGGACAAACTCTACCAATGGGGTCCCCACCATGGGATCCCCAAAGACAACAGTCCTCTTAGAGAAAAGTTAGGAAGTTTTTTATACCCCAAGGAGAAATTGGATACGAAAACTGAGGAAGCTGAGCGGCACACAGACTTGTTGCTGCCCCATGAGAGAGCCAGCCAGGATGGCAGTGGTTTTTCCCGCATTCTGAGCATATTGACAGATTCTTCAAGTACACAAGAGAAAAGGCGACGTAGCTTTCCTGATATTGAGGATGAAGAGAAATTTCTCTATGGGGATGAAGAAGAGGACTTAAAGTTACAATCCCCACCAAAGCTCCGTGGCAGTTCTGAGAGTGAAATTAGGCAGAAGGCAAACTCCTCCCTGCCCTCTTCAGGTCTAGCCGTAAAGCGAGAATCAATAGAAGAGGCCAATCCAGAATATGCCAAAATTCATGACTTGCTTAAAACCATAGGACTGGATATTGGGGTAACAGAGATTAGTAAACTGGCTGTGCGTACCCAGGAACGGCTTCATGGCAAGAAGCAATCATCACGTTTATCAGCTGATCCCCGTTGTGTTGGGGACCGACACTTTTCATCTGACTGTCATCCCTTAGTTGACCACCGTTTCTTGGATCCCCACAGACTAGAGAGCATGGAGCCACGCCATAGCAATACTCACTCCCCACAGGTATCCCATCCACATCCAGCCTCTCCGGTGGATCCTTACAGATACACAAAAAATAGCCCTCCTTTCCTAAAGTCTGACCATGTAATGGGTCAGGTTTCAAGACCAGAGGTGATTGGTAGTGGGTTTCAGTCATCTATTGCAGTCAGATGCATGTTGCCCTCAACCCCATCTGTTCCAATTAGACATTCACACCCTGCTGCTTTATCTCAGTTTCACATACCAAGAGCCCCTCAGTTTGCTGCAGCTCGGATAGCTCAAAACTACCAAGGACCTGCCATTCCCCTTGCCTCTTTTGATACCTATCAACATTACATGGCATATGCAACATCAAGGTGGCCCAAGTACCCCACTTCTCAACCATCAAAACATTCCCTACTTGAACCACACAGGATGATGCCAATTACTAAACAAGCTGCTCGAAGCCGCCCTAATCTCCGTGTGATCCCCACTGTGACTCATGATGATCCTAAGCTGGAGGAATCAGCGCTCAGCTCAGTTCCTTCTGTTCAAGTGCCTGCCCAGGTGCCCTTCCCAACATTCGTAGGATTTAATTCTGAGAAGATCTCTGATGAGAAGAATCGTGCTTCCCAAAAGCAGAAGGTGAATATTAGCTTTGGACATCTGGTAACCTGTCCCTTCTGTTTTAACACAAGTTGTTACTTGATAATGCTTATAGTTTATCAGAGTCTAATAATATTTTGTGACATTTTTTTTTTAAATGCAGTCGTTATACCATCAAGTTTCATTGAATTATTCCATACTGTGGTAAGGGAGCAAAGGCTGGGGTAAAGGTAAAATAATTCTAGGTGTATTATAGAAGTAATAGAATTATGTAGGGATGAGGAATACAAAATTGAATTTGGAGTGGAAAAATTAATGCATAATTTAAGTTCTGAAGGCCCTTACTAGTATGTTGCTTACTTAGGATATACATAGAAATATAATGTAAGTTTGTTTTATTTATAAAATAATCATTGTACTTCTAACAAGTAAATCCACCAGCTACTCTGGGGGAAAGATGAGGCTGTCTGCTCCTGTAAAGATTTATATTTGGGAACTCTCAGGAGCAGCGCTGTTATGAGTCGGAATTGACTTTATGGCAGTAATGAGAAAGAAGAAAAGGTAAAATTGGAGAGCCGATCTCAGTTTTTTTCTGGTTATTTCCCCCACCTCCTTTGGAATCAAAAAACAATTTTCCATTGTCTTCAGATACCTGAACTGTGATTTCTTGGTTACATTGAAGCCTTAGGGAAGGAGGATATGTTTAATACAATCAAAGTTTAAGACTTCAGAGTTACTGTTTGAAAATAGCTTTCGGCCTTTACTCTCCTCCTTATGAGCCTAGCCTGTTGTGGACAAACCATATTTATATTTTCCCTCGGGTACTAATGGAAAAATCAGGATATTTAAGACAGATAACCTAGATTTTAAATTTACTCCTATATAATCTTTACCATCTGTTTTCTTACTATAAAATAAATATTAAATAATATAAGAAGTTCCTCTGAACTGAAAACCACTATATAATAGTTGTTTGCTGGCTTTAGGTTGACAATAATGATATAGTACTTCCTATGTAAGAGTAATACTTTCTAGGAAATGGAATTCTATGAAGAAGGATGAGTCTATTCTGAAACTTGAGTTGGGATAAAATACCACCTTGACTAGAAATGTCATCCTCTGGATGCTGGTCTTTGAATGCTTGTGTTCAGATATTATCTAGTGAAAGCTTATGGAAACTTACGGAAGAGTGCTAGAAAAGGGGAAGTGCTGGAGAATAAAAGACTCTTACTCTGCAGGTTATTGAAGAGCGGGAAAAGCTCAAGAGTGACGGGGAAGCACGCCAGAAGAAGATGTACTATCTCAGGACTGAACTGGAGCGGCTTCATAAACAACAAGGTGTCGGACAGTTCTTTGCATGATTGCCTTTTTGTAGTAACTTGAGCAGTAGACCAAAATAAAGAACTTTGGGAGCTCTTAGGCAGATTTAGGTGCCTGAGGCTCGCTTTGTAAGGACAAAATTTTATACTGACAGAAAAGTTGCAACAATAACTGTCAGATAGACTTCTCCCAGATTATGAATATTTTATTACTTCTAGCCTTTTTCTCTCCCTCTTAATTCATGTTTGTAATTTTATCTTGAAGTGTTTAAGAGTAACTTAATAATGCTGCTTTAGTCCTAAATACAGCAAGAAATTCTGTTAAGTAACCAGAATGGACTTAACAAAATTAGGACATTAACATGAGTACAATACTATTAGTTAGCCTCCAGATTCAATTTATACTTCACCAGTTGTCCCATTGAGGACCTTTATAGCAAAAGAGAATCTAAGATTATACAGTAAATTAATTTGTCATGTCCTTTTCATTTCTTGTAATCTCAAATATTGAGTCTTTGTGTTTATTGACATTTTCACGATACTGACCTTTAAAGTTTTTCCTTTTATTTCAAAATAACCTACTTTTGTTTTTTGCTCTGTACAGTATACCCAACAGAGACGACACCACCCCAACAGTTTACAATTCAGTGCCACTGATGACGTGCGTTAGTTGTGTAGCCATTCTCACCCTCCTTCTCCGAGTTATTCCTCCTCCAGTAATGTAATAAACTCATTGCCCCTAAGGTTCCTATCTAGTCTTTCAAATTGCTGTTGTGTCCATTTGATCCCGTATACCAAAACCAGACTTGCTATCAGCAATTTGATGCTGACTCTTGGTGACACTGTGAGTTTCTGTTCCTGTTAATGGGAGTAGAAAATAATCCTGTCTTTCCTACAGAGCCGCTAGTGGTTTCAAACTGTGGACCTTTTGGATCGCAGCTCAATGCATAACCACAACGGGCTCTTCATGGATCCCCTCTAGATGGATCTTAAAAGATCTCAATGTTTAAAATTAAGTTAGTACTAGTTATTGTTTGATTTTATAAAGACTTCAGGGAATATTTTGAAAGTTTAAAGATGGTCTCAGGGCAAGTTTCTGAGGTTTATACAGTCTAAATGACTAGAAAATCCGGATTCCATGAGACTTTAAAATTTTCTTCTGCATTTTCCCCTTTTTAATTTGGATTCTTCTATAAACCCTTTGGTAAACGTCTGTAATGGTAGCTGAGTACCACCGAATTCTTCTGGTCTCATGGCAAATGCAGTTAGCAGCACATTTTATTTCTATTCCTGACTCTTCCTTTTTCTGTTGCTCCAGGCAGAGAGATCAATTGTATCTTGAATGGCTTCTTGAAAGCTTTTCTTGAGACCCCACCCAATATGAACCGAACTACAAAGTAGAACAGAAGCACTAAACATGGTGTTAAGCCAATTAACTAGGATATCTCATGAGGTCATGACCCTAAATTTCCAAACCAAGGAACCAAATCTCATGATTGTACATAAAAGCAACCTCAGCAGCTACAAGTTATTGGAAATATGACATTAACATTTTAAAAGAGGGTACATTTTTAGAATATCCCTTAATTTTGACTTCTGATGGTTCCATATAATTCAAGTTACACATTTTTAGCAAGAACATCACTGAAGTGATCCTGAGTTCATATCAGGTGATGATTTGTGTCATTCATGGTGGTGCTGACTTTGATCATTTGGTTAGGCTGTGCCAGGTTTCTCAACTGCAAAGTTGCTACTTTATCCTTTTTGGTTTAGTAAATATCTTACAGGAGAGATACTTTGAAACTAAAATATTCAATTACTCATGAATTTCCATTCTCTGTTAGCATTCACCAATGATTTTTGGCCTGAGGTAATACTTGGATGGTTTTAAAATTGTGATTTTCTAATGACTTTTACCTTTACAAATTGACTCTGTGCTTTAAGGAGGAGGTCTCCTTGTGACGTACATCATTGTGAACTCAGATTCTTCGTTTGATGAGTTAAAATTTGTTGTGTATAATGGGGTCACTGTGCGTTGGAACTGACCTAACAGCCACAGCCACTGGGCGTGATTCACTATCTAGTCCTACTATAACAGAAACATGACAAGTAGGTGGCTTTAAGAAAAAAATGTGTCTTCTCACAGAGTAGGTACTAGAAAAGCCACATCTCAGGTGCCAACATTAGGAGAGGGCTTTCTTTATTTGGATCTGGAGGAAGGTCTTTGTTTCTTCTCAGCTTTGTTTCCCCCTGAGAGATTCACATGGCATGGCATCTATTCTCTCCTGTCAATGCTTGCTAGCTGCTTGCTTACTCGACTCTTTATTTCTCAAAAGAGATCAATTTAAGATAAATGCATTATATCAACACTACTTCATTAACACAACAAAGACTCCCTTCTCAAGTGGGGTTATAACCAAAAGTACAGTAGGATTTACAATGCATATTTTAGGGGGAGGGGACACAGTTCAACTCATAACATCGTGTATTAACGTGTTTTCACCCCCAAATTATCTCAGATTTGGCTAGTAGAGGCCCCTTTGAGCTGACTCCTCTGTGTCCTTTTGATATGTATTCATCCTTTTATAGTACTTCCTTTTTGGCACACAGAAGTGTTCCATGATACCTCACTTTTGATTCCATCTCATCATTTATGCTTTTAGGAATTCATGAATGCCATGTGGAAAGAGACTAACAAGCCTGTATGGCGGTGGTGTGGCAGAGCAGAGGGTGGGAGGAGAGTTGTTTGGGACTGGTTTTGGAACTTACCATAGTTATTAATCCCGTTAAGGCTCATGCAGGAAAACATGCAATTTGGGATAGGAGGTAACATTGGGAGAGCCTGAGGCGAAGCCTAAAACTCAGTGGAGTTAGCAAAGCGTCCTTAGATTAAGTAAAATATATATGGCTGAAGGTTTTTTACTCTGTAAAAAACTCTTTGTACTCAGAATTCATAGGTACACGTTATTAAAACATTTTGGGGATGCACGATGCACACCAACTTGCATCTACCGTTTGGGGGCTCATAGAGCCCTGGAAGCCTTGGGTATAAATTCTTGGCTGACAATCCTACGCAAAAGATAGTGTTCTCATCTCTCTGGACGCTTCACCTAAACCAGCCATGTGCAATGAGAGACTTGCTTGCTTTTACCAACTTTTGTGAGAAAAGATTTTGTAATAGTAAGTCCTAATAGATCCATGCTTGTTAAATAATATGACTCACCTTAATTTTCTTTCCCTGTGTTGCTCTCTGTTGATACTTGACGCTCAGGAGAAATGCTGCGCAAGAAACGAAGGGAGAAGGATGGCCACAAAGACCCACTCCTGGTGGAAGTGAGTCGCCTCCAGGATAACATTGTGAAGGACATTGCAAAACTACAGCAAGAGGCAGAGGAGGCAGAAAAGAAACAGTCTGAACTGGACAAAGTGGCTCAGATCTTGGGAATAGACATTTTTGATAAATCCCAGAAGTCTTCAAATGACAGTAAAGAGTCTTTAGAGAAACCTGAGAAAGCAGAAAAAGCGAAGAGTCCAGAAAAAATGATGTCATCCCCCTCAGACTCCGCAAACAACAAGGTAATAATTCAGCTTTTTCATTTTTATTATTTTCTCTCCCATAGACTTTTTTTTTTCCTTTTATTGGGGGCTCTTAGATCTCCTATCACAATGCATACATTCATCGATTGTGTCAAGCACATTTATACATATTTTGCCATCATCATTTTCGATGCATTATCTTTCTACTTGAGCCCTTGGTATCAGCTCCTCATTTCCCCCCCTCCCTCCCACATGAACCCTTGATAAGTTATAGATTATTATTTTCATATCTTACATTTTTCATATCATACATTATCCTCTGTCACCCTTCACCCACTTTTCTGTTGCTCATCCCCCTGGGAGGGGGTTATATGTTGATCCTTGTGATTGATTCCCCCTTTCTTCCTACCATCCTCTTATCCTCCTGGTATCTCTATTCTCATTGTTGGCCCTGAGGGGTTTATCTATCCTGGATTCCGGCGCTTACCTGTAACTGTGTGCATGTTTTGATCTAACCTGATTTGTAAGGTAGAATTGAGATCATGATAGTGAGGGGAGGGAGGAAACATTAAAGAACTAGAGGAAATTTATGTGTTTCATCAGTGCTATACTGTATGTACCCTGATTGGCTCATCTCTTCCTTGTGACCCTTCTTGAGGGGATGTACAATTGTCTGCAGATGGGCTTGGGTGTCCACTCCTTGTCTGGTGCCGCACGCCCCTCTCCCCCGCCCCCCCCAAGCCATTGGTATGATTTTGTTCTGGGTCTTGATGCCTGATACATTATCCCACCGACACCTCATGATCACACAGGCTGGTGGGCTTTATTGCTTCTCAGCTACATGGCCGCTTGTTTGTCTTCAAGCCTTTTAAGACCCCAGATGCTATATCTTTTGATAGCTGGGCACCAACAGTTTTCTTCACCACATTTGCTTATGTACCCATTTTGTCTTCAGCGATCATGTTGGAGAGTTGAGCATCACAGAATGCCGGATTGTTAGAACAAAGTGTTCTTGTGTTGAGGGAGGAGTACTTGAGTCGAGGCCCAATGCCTCTCTGCTACCTTAATTCTTAACATATAGATATGAGTATGTAGTTCTATTCCTTTCGTTACATTTTTATATATATCTATTGTTATGTATTTACATATGTACATGCCTGTATTTAGACCTCTATAAATGTCCTTTGCCTCCTGGTTCTTTCCTCTATTTTCTTTTACTTTGCTCTTGTCCCACCATCATGTTCAGCCTTCATTCGGGTTTAGTTATTTCTCGCTGTTACATTGCCCTTGATTAGGCCCCAGTAGACATCCTATGCCCTTCTTTCCATTGATTTTAGTTCACTTGTTGTTCCCTTGTCTCTGGGTTGGTTTCCCCTCCTCTTTCTTTCTTCCACCTCCCATTCTCTCGTATCTCCCCGGAACCGTTGGTTCCGTTGTTTTCGTATCCGAATTGTTTATCCCACCTGTCTTATTTAGCTAGACATGTAGAGACATTAATAAGCGCAAAAAACAGGCAAAGCCAAACAAAACAAAGGAAGACAAAACCAATAAAATAGTAATAACAACAACAAAAAAAAACCAGCAAAAAGAAAGCCAATGACAAAAAAGGAAAAGCCTATAAATAGTTCCAGGTCCGTTTTTTGACCATTAGGCGTGTTTTCCAGTCGAGTTTGATGGGATGCCACACTCTTGTCTCCGAAGTCTATTTTTGGTACTCCCCGGGGTTTTCATTGCTTTGCTTCCCTTGCTGCTCTGTTGCATGCTTTTAGTGTTTTGCCCCAGTGTGATGGGGTCAGATTGTGCATAATTCCCGCACTGTGTCTCCAGTGTTGTTCCCCATAGCACTGTGGTTCGGTGAGGGACATTGTGTCTCGTGGTGGGGACAGCCCTATGGTCCTCTCTGTGAATTGACTGCTCTGAGTAGGAATGTTGTCCTCAAGGCTTGGTGGCCAGGATGTGTTCCCCTCACTCTCCAATCCTCTTCATTTCTCCTGTGTGCTCTAATTAGACGTGCCCCTCTCCCCAAGCTGTACCTTTGTCCTTTGAAGTTCTTCTTGCCGGGGCGGGTGGGGGTGGGGTCCACATAGTTGGGATTGAGGCCAGCCCCACAGACCACACTATTGGTTTCCTGGTACATGCCTGTATGTTGTATTAGCATCTTGGCACATCGGGTTTCCCATAGACTCTTTACAGCAGCTTTTAAACTATTATTATCAGCTGCTTCTAATCTCTTATTCTTGTTAGAATTACTTTTTGAAACATTGATTAGATTGTGCTCTCCTCTGGAATCTCAGCAGTTCCCTGTTACCCATAACGTCGTAGAATACAAAATCCTCAGCATTCAAGTTCATCCACAATCTAGTTTTTAACATGTACTCCTTAACCCAATACAATACTCCTAACCCACCCAATCATAAGTTGGTGATTTTCTCACCACTTGTATTTATCATTTTAGGGCTCATCATATTAATAAAGCCAGTGAACTTATTTCAATTATCAGATCAGCAGTATTTGACATGTGGAACCATTCTTCTAAAACTGCTTTCTTTCCTTCTACCGTACTTCTTTTCCTCCTAGTATTCTGCTGCTGCTTTGCTTAGGCCTCTTTGTGGCCTATCCTTTTGCTATCTGATCTTTAAATATTTGAATGCCTCAAGACTCGGTCCTAGTCCAGTTCTCCAGAATTCTACTCTCTTGTTAGGCCATTTCATCCAGACTGTGTTCAAATACGTGGCTGATAACTTCCAGTTTTATATTTTAGCACAAATCATATTTATGAGAGCCAAACTTGGTGTCCAGGAACCTTTTCATCATGTCTACTTCACTGCCTCATAAAAAAAACAAACTTACTCACTGCTATCCAGTTGAGTCCATCACATAGGAACCTATATGTTTGGCAATATTATAAATCTTTACAGGAGTAGTTATCAATTTCTCCTGTGGGAGCAGCTAGTGGGTTTGAACTTGAGGCATTGTCTCATGTTGTAATGTGCTGTTGAGTCAATTCCAACTCACAGTGATACTCTGCACAACAGAAAGAAACCCTACCTGGCCCTGCACCATGCTCACAATTGTTAGATCTGAACCCATTGTTGCAGCTACTGTCAATCTTGTGAACTGTCTTCCTCTTTTTTGCTTATCTACCTTACCAGCCTTGGTGCCATTTTCCTGGGATTTTTCTCTCCTGATAACATGTCCCAAGTATGTGAGACAAAGTCTTGCCATCTTTGCTTCTAAGGAACATTCTGGTTGTACTTCTAATGCGAATTTGTTTGTTCTTCTGACCGTGGAATTTTTCACCAACATCGTAACTCAAATGCATCACTTCTTCCTTGGTTTTTTGTCCAACTTTCACACATATATGAGGTAATTGAAAATACTGCATCTTGGATCAGGCACACCCTAGGCCTCAAAGTGAAATCTTTGCTCTCCAATGCTCTAAAAAGGCATTGTACAACAAATTTTCCCAATGCAATATGTTGTTTGCTTTCTTGGCTGCTGCTTGCTTGAGCCTTGATTGTGAATCCAAGCAAAATGAAATTTTTGGCAACTTTAATCCTTTTCCCATTTATCATGATGTTGTCTATTGGTTTTCTTTACACTGAGTTGTAATCCACACTAAAGGCTTCAGTGCTTAATCTTCATCAGCAAGTGCTTTAAGTCTTCCTTGATTTCAGCAAGCAGCTTGGGTATCTACATATTGAAGGCTGCTAATAAGTTTCCTCCCAATTCTGATGCTGTGTTCTTCATATAGTCCAGCTTCTCAGATTATTTGCTCAGCACACAGATTGAGTAGATATGGGAAAAGGATACAACCTTTACTGATTTTAAACCATGCAGTATTCCCTTATTCCCTTGGTCTAGATACAGGTTTCACATGACCACAATGAAGTGTTCTTTCATTCTTCTTGATGTTATCCATAGTTTGTTTTTATCTACACATTCGAATGCCTTTGCATAGTCAATAAGGCACAAGTAAATGTCTGGTATTTTTTGCTTTCAGTTAATATATATTTGACATAAGCAATGACATCCTTCATTCTACATCATCTTTTAAATGCAACTTGAGTTTCTGTCGATGTACTACTGCAACCTGTCATTGAATTATCTTCAGCAGAATTTTATTTGCATGTGATATTAATGATATTTTTCTATAATTTTTATATTCTGTTGTATCACCTTTCTCTGGAATGAGCACAGATATTGATCTTTTCCAATAGGTTAGCCATTGAACTATCTTCCAGACTTTTAGAGACAGACAAATAAATGCTTCCAGTGCTTAATGTTGAAATATTCTATTGGTATTCCATCGATTCCTGGGAGGGAGTTTTGCTTTTGCTTTTTACTAATACCTTCATTGGAGATTGTACTATTGCTTTCCATGTCAGCGTTTTTGAAATGGTTGAATGTTGACCAGTTCTTTTTTGGTCCAGTGACTGTGTGTATTCCTTCTACCTTCTCTTGATGCTTTTTTTTTTAATCATTCAATATTCTGCCCATAGAATTCTATAGACAATTTTGCCCATAAAATATTGCAACTCAAGGCTTGATTTTTTTTTCTTCAGTTCTTTTAGCTTGAGATAGTGCTGAGCATGTTCTTCCATTATGACTTTATAACTCTAGGTGTTTGCACATTTCCATTTCATCTTCTTGAGCTGCCCTTTGAGATTTTTCTTTCCATTTGCTTTAGCTGCTTTACTTTCAGAAGCAAATTTCAGTGTCTCTTCTGACATCCATTTTTATTTTTGTTGTCTGTTTAATGACATTTAGCCATGGGTAGTGTTCTTGATGATGTCACGCAGCTCACCGGGTCTTCAGTCTTGGTGTCCAATGTGTCAAATCTGATGCTGAGATGTTCTCAAAATTCAGGTGGGATATACTAAGGTCATATTTTGGCTCTTGCAGACTTATTTTAATTTTCTTCAAGTCCCTCTTCAGCTTACATATCAACAGTTGATGGTGTGTTCCACAGTCGACCCCTGGACGTTTCGACTAATAATATTGCGCTGCTCCATCATCTATCCTCGCAGATTTGGTCA